GAAGGTAGTGGGTATGAGTAGAGCGAGGATTTTGGAACCCGAGATTGATTAATAGAAAGATACAATTAATGGGCCAAAACTAAGGAGAGAAATAGACAACAAGATAATCATTCATGCTAGATGGATGTTAAGCGAATTGAGAGCGATAGGAAGAAAATTTATAAAACTCAAGGATATGTAATAAAGAATTAGATTTTGGGGACAATAAGGCTTGGATGGCTTAAAATATAAAAATGGTTGAAAACATTCTTACCCTCAATGATAATTGTAATAATAACTAATCATTCATCAATACATCCTCTCTAAAAGGTTCTTTTCCTCGAGATTTGGTATAAACTAATTCCTATACTTCCTTTTCAAGGTTCGACCATTCTTTCACTTCCCATTTAATCCAACTCCCACAATTAATTCATTACGACAAATAAAGGTCCTACTGCACAATCTCAATGAAAAATTCTCAATTGACACGGCCAACATCCAAAATATAGTTGCATCATCCTTCTTGATCATAATTGTTGTTTCTTTGACACCGATATATCTGTCAAACCTTCCATATAAATTCCACAAATTCATTGAAGACAATTAATACGAGTTTTAATGACGTAAGCGACAGTGTTGGGTGCTAGGATAACTAGACTATGATACCATTTGATGAGAGGATTTTGATATCCATGATTGATTAACATAAAGATATAATTAGAGGAGAATTGGACAAAAAGAAGGGAAATAAATCGACTACGAGATAAGAAATAATTAGAGGAGAATTGATAAATCCAAGAAGATGGAGAACCAAATTAGGGTATGGAGAGAACAAAATTAAAAGCGTTATAGAGGAAGAACAGAGAAATATTTGAGATAATTGATTAGGTAAATCTTTTGTTCTTCTTTAATAATCTAACTGAATGAATAAAGTACAAGTATATAGGAAACTACATAAAATCTAATACTACTAGACCATTAACTTGGCATCTACCCAAAACTCACAAAATACACATCCACACAATTAATATCACGGCTTCCCTTCTAAATGAAGCTATATACGAGAATAGTAAATAAAATAAGATTTGATAACTAATTATTCCTTCGTAAAAATAAGATAGTGTAATGAAAGGAGTGGACTATTTGATGATAGAGATAGATGTTTCAATGATGGAGATGAAGACACTTTTGTTAGTGCATATAAAGATGTTGTTGATGGGGAAACAATCTCAAATAAATTCCAAAAAATTGCATTCATTTGGATAAGGTGATAAATTTAAGTTCAGTTTGATAAAGTTTTTATGTTACTTCCCTTACACATGTTTTTTTTCTTTTGATAAGAATTTTGGACGATAATCTCGTAGGATGTTAGAAAAAAGTTATGATGTATATTTCTTTTTGATTTTTTGGCAATGAAATAATTTAAATTATTTTATAATCCCTATAAAAATGTGTCATGTCTTCTACAATTATAATTTTTGTTTACGTCATTGACCAAATGAATCCAACCATCTGGTCGGGCCCTACTCTAGTATTGTTTTAAATTTTTTTTTGTGTGTGGATATTAAGTAGTGGACACCATATCAAATGCACACCATATCAAAGTGTCCTTGTGGGGAAAACAATGGAACTATACAATATTGTTAAAGTATATGGAAAACTCTTATGTGGGTTTGGTCATCACCTGTATTTTTTTTAGAATATGGAATGGTAAGTACTATGTATAAGATTAGGGGTGGGCATTGGGTGGGTTGGTCGGATTTTAACCATAAAATGCACTCACCTGCGTTTAAACGGATTGATAATATTTAACCCATCACCCACCCACATTTAGTCTCGGGTTGGGTCGGATGGACGGTGGATGATGCGGGTGAGTTTGCGGATTCACCCACATCACAATGTACATAATTCAAAGTAGTCAACGTGACATGATAATCGGTGGAGAGAGTTATCGGGCGGAAACAAGATGATGGAATAGGGGATAAAATGTTGAATTAGTTCTGAAATTTTATAAAAATTCTATTATGGAGGAGTTTTCTAAAGATGGAGATGATTATCAAGCGCAAGGAACTAAGAAAAATAATTCACAGGAGGAAAGATAGGTGATATAGGTACAAGAATCATAGGAAAAAATAAAGTGAATAATAGGGGATCGCGATTTGGAAGATTGGCTTTGATGTTTTAATTCTCAAGAGCATTCCTAGTTTCTGTCTAACGTCTCCACTCTCACCTCTCTAGGGCCAAAGACTTTGTTCTTTTTGCTGTTGGGTTGAGCGGGTCACCCACGCACCCGCCCACAATCCACCCGCCACCCGACGGATGGCTCCCAGCACAACCCGCCACCCACCTACAGACCCACCCACATAACCAAAATTCGGGTCAAATACGGGTGGGTCAGCCCAAACCCGCGGGTGATCCGCCCGCATGCCCATCCCTATATAAGATGTTTCCAATTTTTGCAAAACCACTGTAACAAATCATGCTTCCAATTTCGTAGAAGAATTCTACTTATCATCATCAAGTGCTACCCAACTCTATGCTAATGTCAATATTCCAAAGCTTGCTATTGACCAGCACAAGTAATGAAAAATGAATTACCTATTCATTTGTATTTGAAGTGATTTTTGTTAATAAGACGCTAAAATGTTGGTCTATTTATCCCTTAGGGATCTCATACCAATGCTCCAGTGTTGGTTGATGTTGAACCAGTTGAAAATATCCCCTATGTTAAAATTAAGGAATTGAGTGCTTTGTGATTATGAGACAAAGAAAACGTAGCTGAAACGTGCATTCGATTTGTTTGTTATGCAATCTCTTTATATATTCAACTATATTTATGCTCACGCTTCATTTGTAAGTACGATTTATTTGTTTTTTTTTCCTACGATTTGTTATTTTTCAATGGTTTTGAGTCACTAATTGTTATATTTATTTATTATCCAAAGTTTATCTTATAGAAGGCCAACATTTATAAAGTGTGTTTGGCTAGAATCAATAATAATGTCAAACAATAAGAGTCGATTGAAGATCATATTCTTGATCATATACTCTTTAATTGCCTGTTAATTTTCAAATTCAAAAGTTGTACATGGTTTTTCTTTGATTTTTTCACGCATGTAAATGTTTGAGCTAGATATTGCGCGTATGCAACATTTTTTACAACCGGGTAATAATTTCACATAGAGGTTTCATATTATCATACGTAATGATCGAATTTGAGTCGATTTTCAACTTATTTCTCTATTTGATGAATGTATAATTCATCAAACTTACGAGTTAGATATTGTGCTAGTAGTAGACTGTCAATCAGTGGTAAAATTTTCCCCTAGTGGATATGTATAACTCATCCACGTAATTTAAATTGTGATAGGCCCATAGAACTAAAGTCAAATATACCATTATAAATCCTTAGCACCCATAAAAACTTAAGATGTGATAAATTTTACCAACCATAGAACTAAATCTTAATATATCATTATATAGATACCTATGCACATCCGAACCTGTTTGGCAATAGGGATGGCAATGGGTCGGGTTGGGTCGGGCGTGGATAGTGCATACCTGTTACCCTATCCAAAGTAGTTTGGGTTTTATCCATACCCATACCCACATAAGAAATGGGTAGAAAATCAAAACCATGTCCATACCCATTCGGGTTTCGGGTATCCACGGTTATCCATGGGTAATAATTTCTCTTTATAACTCCAACCAATATGTGAACATTCATACGTAGTTTCACATTACATAAGAGAAAAAATACGACAATAATCCACTAGAATGAAGAAAATTAATTAAAACAACACAATTTCATGAACATATTATACTTATATGCTAAATATAAAATATGTTAGAGAAAAATAATGATTATTTATATACAAAATACATATGCATGTATATAATCGGGTGGGTTCGGGTTGGATAGTAAGAAAATCATGCCCACCCATTCTTGGAACCCGACGCCATCTCGATTAACACCGGAGGTCGTTGAACCTTGTTATACGGTGACCGTGCTCTGATACCACGTGTTGGTTGCGTCGAGCGCGAGACTATATACCTATATTGGCTACAAATCAAGCTAAATAATAGTGATTAGTGCAAATTAATCTCAAAGCATATTTTAATCCTAACTATCTTTCACTCTTTCACCTTAGGCTTAGGCGTATAATGACACAACTAATCTAGGCTGATTAGCGCTTAGCCCCAACTAAGCCTATTAAATGTAAAGCCCACTTAACTGAACCTAATTTCACACTGCTAGGCTTCTAATCCCTATTGCTTAAATTACTCAGAAATAATAACACAGCCCGGAAGCCCAGCCCACTCAATTACTCTTCCCGACCCAGCTTCTAAGTGTTGAAAACAAAACGGTTGTGTTTTAATTCAATTCAAATTGCCCTTTTCGCTTGGAACTTCGATCCAAACTTAACCCTGCTTCTGTTCGATTGAATAACAGGGGAAGAACAACAAGATCTTTGCTGTAAAAACCCAGGCAGTTGTGTTGAAGCTCAAATCAAACTCGGCTTCAACAAGTTCCCCAACCCAGTCCTAACCGTACTTCTTCCCTAGCTGCTCCTGAGTGAATTTCCCTGCACAAAATAGAACACACGCACAGAGGGACATACACAGCAGAAGCCGAAAGGCAGAATGAGAAGACACACCACGATTTTTATGTGGTTTCCAGTATTGGGAGAATAAGAATCCCAATACTGACTACTCCACGGTCGGAGACTCACAATTGAGTGATCTCCGACGATTCACTAATGATATTTCGATGAAGTTCGTTCTAACACTATCTACCCAAGAAACCTTGATCAATCTCACTCGATTGATCAATACTCTCTCTAATCAAACCCCGATTGCTTCCCCAGCAACTCGTAACAGTGTTTCCACAACACTAAACCTCAAAGTAATTCTCCCCGAACCCTTTGAGAACCCCCTTTTCTATCAATCTTGCTACTCTCACAAAATCCCCTTTTGTCTTAGCTAGCTATGTTGATCTCCGAAAAGGTTACCTACTGATTCAGTCTTGTCTCTATTTATAGCCTCCACCAACTAGCCGTTGCTCTTCAATTCTCCCTTGAGATCTTCTTGTAAAGGTTAGTTTATATTCTTTCTTCTTTTTGGCCTGTAAACTTGCCTTAACTGCTTTTGGGCAGCCACTGCTTTTCCAACTTGATTTTCACATTTGAATCTTGACTTGGCCTTCAAGTTATATCAAGAAGTTCTGCCATTGTCAAGTTGATGCTCAGAGGCCCATGCTCAGAGGCCTTATTCCGCTTTCCAGCCTTATTCCTTCCTGCACGTGACCCATGCTCATAGGCCTCTTCCGCTTTGAAGACCATTCAACTACCCCTTTTCCTTTGTCAAGCCTGCTGATTTCATCAGCAGTTAGCTCTGCTGCCTTGCCCTTTACCCAGGTCTCCTCTTCTACTTCATTAACATCTTCTTCAGAATCTGTTCTAGACTTAGCAGCTTTGTCTCCCCCTTGAACTTTGGCAAGTTTTCTGGGTCCAAGCACCGAAAGAGTGCGACGTAGGACATGCTGGGCTTGGAGGTCAGCGTGAACCTCACGGTTAGTAAGCTTCCCACGCACATTGACCCCTAAAATTGCTAGTAATGTGGTGATTTGCGGTCCGAATGGGAGCTTTCCACTGCAGTCTTCGTCTTGATATTTAATCATGTGATTAAACATGAGGGATGCATAGCTGATTGGGCAGCTTGTCCTTGCGTTAAACAGAATCCATAGATCAGATTCTTCAAGGATAGTAGTTGTTTTAGCAGCTCGAGGGAGAAACATACGCGTAATGTAGAACTGCAGAGCTTTCAGATCATCCGACAGCCGCTCAACGGAGACCATCGAGGATTGGTACTGCCCGTAGTCGCTGGCTAGGTACGACATAGTGTCTATGGGATGAAACCCATAGCTGTCGAAGTCTTTTGTAGTTCCAGCAGTGTAGCCACCATGAGGAAGGTGCAGCAAGTTGGCCAGGATTTCTGCAGTAACTGTCACACTAAAATTGTAGACAGTGGTGGTGAAGTATGACGGATTACGTCCAGGGTCGCACTGCATACTCGCGTAGAACATCCTCACAGCTTCAGGACACTGATCGAGGAGCCAGTTATGGAGTAGGGAGCTCCACCCAAGATCATTGACATACCCATTGATTCGCAGTCTGTACCGATTGAAGGTGGTGGGAGGGATGAGAAATGAAGGGTGGAGAGCACGATCTTGAAAGCTTCGGAGATACCTGGAGTATGCTTCCGAGTTTCGGAATCCTCGATTGGTGAATAGGGCAGCAGGAGAAAGTTGCACATTGAGCTGGGGATTGCTCGGCGCCATGGTGATGGGATGAGCGAGGAGGTAATTATGATCAGCTGCTTTTGCTGAATATGGGATGATGATTCCATTGAAATAAGGTGGTTTTTATAGGGGCTGAATCAATAATCAAATGGGGAAGGCATTGATCTCTTCTTTGATAGGATTCTATCAAGCGAGAAAAATTTTGAGCTGGGAAGATCGGATCAGCTCATTTGAGGGATCAATTAAGAGGAAGGGATTTGATTCTACTGCATCCTCTATCAACAGATTAGAACTTCCTTTGATATAAAATCGAGGAAGGAATTTTGGGAAGAAGTTGATCGAACAGAAGGTAGGGATTCGATCGGGTAAAGAACTTAGGGATTTTAGGCAGCAGGTGAAGAAGGAAAGTCAAGTTCATTTGCTGTCCTGGAATTGTGCCAGAGACGAAGAATTTGCTAGAGTTGGGATTGGGCTTAGGCCCATGACCCTGGTGTGCAGCTCCAACCCGAGAATTTAAAGGTTAGAGAGGGTTTTGATAGTGGAAATCCCACGTATGTCAGGAAGATGGACATGGAAGGCATCCGGGCTTCGGCCCACAGAGCCTGTGAGAGGCTTAAATTACCAGGCTGCAAGGAATTAAAGGTATTTGGGTAGGGCCGAGAGATTTATCAGATCAAGGTTTTGATTTTAATTTGATTTTGGAGCAACACCACTAATTAAGTTTTGGCCACTCAAGATTATTTCATCTTAGATCTTTAATCTCACTAGAAAGAATAATCCCAAGTTCTCTACGAATGATTAGAAATTGATCAATCTTAGGGGTTTGGTAAAAATATCAGCCCATTGATTTGTCGTAGGCACAAACTCAAGTTGAATTTGACCTTCTTCAACCAATTCTCGAATGAAATGATACCTAATTTCTATGTGTTTGGTTCGAGAATGCTGTACGGGATTTTTAGCCATGTTAATGGCACTCGTATTGTCACACAATACGGGCATGGACTTTATTTCTAACCCGTAGTCACAAAGTTGATGCTTCATCCAAAGAAGTTGAGTACAGCATAGGCCAGCGGCCACGCATTCAGCCTCGGCGGTGGATAGAGCAACAGAGCTTTGTTTTTTACTAAACCAAGACACAAGAGAATTTCCTAGGAATTGACATGTCCCGGAATTACTCTTACGATCAACTATGCACCCAGCATAGTCTGAGTCACTATATCCAAATAACTCAAGACTTGACTCACAATCATACCATAGACATAGATCCATTGTACGAGCTAAGTAACGAAAGATCCTTTTAACAACAGTTAGATGGCTTTCCTTAGGAGCACTTTGAAATCTAGCACAAAGACACACACTAAATTGAATATCTGGTCTGCCAGCAGTAAGATACATTAGTGACCCAATCATTCCTCTATAGAACTTCTCGTCAATTGATTAGCCCGACTCATCCTTGTCTAATTTAATGGTAGAAGCCGTAGGGATAGAGGCAGTTTTTAGATTCCCAAATTCAAAACGTTTTAACATATTTTGAATATACTTGGTTTGACTAATGAAAATGCCTCGAGGTGTTTGTTTAATTTGCAAACCCAAAAAGTATGTTAGTTCTCCCATTGCACTCATTTCAAAAGTTTTCTTCATGATATTTTCAAAATATTCGCACAATTCTTTGCTAGAGGATCCAAATATAATGTCATCAACATATATTTGAAATATCAACAAATGTTGTCCTTTATTTTTTATAAAGAGAGTTTTATCCACTGAGCCCCTTTTAAAACCTTCTCCTAAAAGAAAAGAGCTAAGTTTTTCATACCAGGCTCGTGGAGCTTGTTTTAGACCATACATTGCCTTTTTTAATTTATAGACATGGTTTGGATATCGAAAATCTTCAAAACCGGGTGGTTGCTCAACATACACTTCCTCTTTTAAATCTCCATTTAAAAAGGCACTTTTGACATCCATTTGAAAAAGTTTGAAACCCTTGGAGCTAGCGAACACACATAACATTCTAATAGCCTCTAATCTAGCGACTGGGGCAAAGGTTTCATCGAAATCTATTCCCTCTTCTTGATTATACCCTTGAGCTACTAACCTAGCCCTATTTCTAGTTGCTACCCCATTTTCATTAGACTTGATCTTGTAAATCCACTTAGTCCCGATAACAACCCTATTAGGTGGTCTGGGTACCAAATCCCACACATTTGCTCGTTCAAACTGACTCATTTCTTCATTCATGGCAGCATTCCAATTTTCATCATTTAAAGCATCTAGCACGTTTTTAGGTTCAACCAATGATACAAAAGCAGTATGCACAATAGAGTTTTTAGAACGAGTGACCATACCTTCATTTAGCCCTCCTATCATAAGAGAAGAAGGATGACGTTTGGCAATATGTGGAGGAGGTTGCCTTACATCATGGTCTAGCTCGATCGGAGAGTTTGTGGTACTTACTGCTTTATCTTGGTCTTCAGCTATGATCATTCTAGGTTCAGATTTCTCCATGTTTGGAGTCTTTAGTAGATCATAGTTCCCACCAAGTCCAAAATAATCTTCATCTATCTCATCTGAACACTCATTAACATATTCATCAAATATCACATTTATGGACTCTTCCACTTTGAGAGTCCTTTTGTTGAAAACTCTATATGCCTTGCTAGTCATGGAATAACCCAAGAACACACATTCATTGGATTTGGCATCAAACTTGCCAAGGTGATCTTTGGTGTTTAAAGCAAAGCATTTGCAATGGATGAAAGTAACTCAGATTGGGTTTTCTTCCTTTCCAGATCTCATAAGGGGTCTTCTTAATTCCAGATCTGATCAAAGCTCGATTAGTAATATAGCAGGCAGTATTTATGGCTTCAGCCCAAAAGTACTTTGGTAAATCATAGTCATGTAACATTGTTCGAGCTATATCAATCAAAGTTCGATTTTTCCTTTCCACCACTCCATTTTGTTGCGGAGTTCGAGGAGCAGAAAAATTGTGACTTATTCCTAGCTTATTGCAGAAGAGTTCAAATTCTTCTGAGATAAATTCTCCACCATGATCACTTCTAATGCTAGCGACCTTAGATTGTTTTTCATTTTCCAATTTCTTAGTTAGAGACTCAAAATTTTGAAAAGCTTCACTTTTGCTAGCTAGAAACAATACCCAAGTGAAACGAGAATAGTCATCTACAATTACAAAAGCATAGGACTTACCTCCATAGCTTACCACATTGGTTGGTCCGAAGAGATCAAGATGAAGTAGTTCAAGTGGTCTCGTTGTAGATATAACAGACTTACTTTTAAAGCTAGACCTTGTATGCTTTCCTTTAGCACAAGCATCACAAAAGAACTCCTTCTTGCCTTTTAACTTAGGTAGACCTTTGACTAGCTCAAGGTCACTCAGTTTAGACAGAATTCCTATACTCACATGTCCAAGCTTCCTATGCCAATCTATTTGATCATTTTTCTCTAATGACATTAGACAAGTTATCTTAAAACTTTCTTTATCATCTAGATTTATGACATATAACTTATTTTTACGTCTCCCGGTGAAAAGCACTTTCTTATCAACTAATGACTCGATGTAGCAACTATCATGTTCAAAGACTATCCTCTTATCTTTACCACACATTTGACTAATAGAAAACAAGTTATGCTTAAGACCTTTTACTAGCATCACATTCTCAATGCATGGATCTGAACCTACTATTCCTCTTCCTATTATTTCGGCAGAATTATTGTCACCAAAGAATACCTTACCACCTTTACCTTCTTTGAGTGTGGTAAATAGGTTTCGATTTCCTGTCATGTGGTGTGAGCATCCACTGTCTAGTATCCATTCAGTTGCCTCCATGCTCACTTGGAAGCAAACCTGCGTCATTAGCAGTCATGCAGTTTTGGGTTTTGTATCCAGACTTTCTTGGATACAGTTTGTTTGTGATCTTAAATAGAACAAAATCTACTAATGTGATCGATTTGATGACAAGTAAAACAAGTTCTATATTTTTCATTTAGTATTCTCTTTCTACATACTCGCCTAATGTGCCCAAATTTATGATAATAGAAGCATTCCATGTTTCTATATCTTTGTTTTGACGTTCCATTCCTTTCATGCTTTATTGATTCTTCAAAAATCTTTGACTTGCCTTTACTACATGAATTTGATCCTAAGTTTTCACAACATCCCTTAGTGGAATGATTCAGGTAAGAATTACCTTCCTTTCTTAGATATTCAATTTTATTTCCTTCTAATGATTCTTGAAGTTTTACCGTGAGACTCAATTTCTCATTTTCTAAGACTTCAACTTTCTTAGTAGTTTCTTCTAACTCTTCTTTTAATCTGACCGCCTCCTTCTTTAGTTCATCATATTCAATGTTTATTTTGGCATAATCAGATTTTAGTTTAGAATATTTTACTTTAACATTTCCAAACTCTAACTGAATTTCCTTGATAGTGGACACTAATTGATCATCATCAATATAGTAATCACTATCACTAAAATAAGTATGGTTGGAAGATTTTACCTCATTTGGATTATGTCTGTCTGATGGCTCTTCAACATCAATTGCCATGTAGCTTTCTTCTCTTGTTTCCTCTCCATCCTCATCTTCTTTTTCGCTACAGCTCCATGTTGCAGCCATGGCTCGTTCTTTTCTTGCTAGAGGACATTCAGCCTTGATATGCCCAGTTTCCCCACATCTAAAGCATCCGATAGTGTCTTGAACCTTAACCGGCTTAAGCTGTTCAATCCTGCTTTTGTGGAATGCTCTTGATTGAGGATATTTTGATGTACCACCTTCTTTCTCAACTTCTCTATTCCTGTTAATGAAGTTTCCTCTTTGTTTTCCTCTTCTCACTCGAAGTAGTCTACTAATTTGTTTGCTTAGTAGAGCTAATTCTTCATCCTCCATATCATCGAGATCTTCTGTGTCTTCATTGTATGTGGTAGCCTTGAAGGCTATCCCCTTTTTCCCTTTATCATGATTTCCCTTGTTGAGCTTGTCTCATGAGTTGCTAATGACCCGATGAGTTCATCTATGGCTAACTTCTCTAGGTCTTTAGCTTCCTCTATTGCGGTTACCTTTGGAGTCCATTGCTCTGAGAGACTCCA